GTATTTTATTAAGTTACATTATAGGTAATAAACTGAAATAATAACTGAAATTAGTATACATAGTATAATATAATTTCACTTATTTTCGGCATAAAAGTAAAGTATATCCAATATTATACATTCAGTTATAGTTAAGTTTAAAAATCTTTTATTAAGTATGTATATGGGAGATAGGTGTAGTCTTGATCCGATTTTATCTATTTTTGGCATTACTACATCTAATTAATTAGAAACAGATGCTCTCTGAGTTTCTTTAAGGTACTTACATACCATCAACAATATGCAAGGAGTATGTTAAAGTCAACCGGATGTTTGAAAATCCTGATGCTAGTTATATGAGGACTAAGGCAAGTTTTAACCCCATTTAAACCATTTTAGGCCCAAAGATGCACCGTTAAGAAAAAAACAGGTTCACTTAATTTAATTTTGATAGCTCACATATTGTCCGATATATGGGGAATAAAGCAGTGGCCGGCACCCAGTGAAAACTCTGTTACCTTAATTTTTCATTTTTTGGATTTTCATTTCTAAGGAAAATATTGATCCGATTCAACCCAGTTTTGACATACCGATATACTATTAACAGGAAAGGGCAGGTGTTACTTGATTTATACTCAGTTTGGTTTGCAATTTTATAATAAGCAGACTTACATCTGAAAAGTGTTTGTGAAGCGTGCAAATTTATTCACAAAATAATGGTTTGGTTCGCGCGACTCACCACATCCGCTGCGACACCGTCGCCGGAATTAATCGGTTTATCAGTTGTAAGATATAGTGGCAACCCTTTATCTATATAATAAAGCTAAATTCTTGGCCACAACATAAAATTACATGTGTACATAAATTAAATTAAGCTCTTCATTTGTATTTATTAAGTGTAATACTTTCAATATTAGTCACAATTCGAGGTATATTCGATCTTAGAGTCTCTCCCTTAGAATTAAGCCATCTTATATTGATACATTGTAGGAATCTAAAATTTATTACTTTTTATTAAACAGAGCAAAGAAGCTGGAATTCGTACGTTAGTGGCCTTGGACGACCAGGGAGGTGAGTTAAAATAATAAAAATATGCTATTCAATACAACAATATTTTTATTTATAAATTAAATAAAATACTAAGGGATGGTTTAAGTGTCATTATTTTTTATCACGCTCTTAAGAGTGAATCAAAAAAGTTACCCAAACTCTTTTTAACTTGTGATATTTTATCATCTGCATTTTACATCCATTTTCATATTAATTAGTTAACTTATAATTGAGGGAGGTAGGTCAGTAGTGTGGCTGTTTGACGACGCAACTGGGCCTATAGGAGGTCCATTGTGTTACCACGGGGGACTAATGTTCCTTCACTCTATTGTCTCCTCTCTGAATAACCCCGTGCTTATGATGAATTTTATCAGTACACAATTTTTTATTTATGCAACCTCCAAAACGTCGTCCCTTCCTCGAAGATTCGTTTTCTGTGTAGAGCCTTGCATTCGCACAGAATATGTTTTATATGTCTCCTCTTCTTCTACGTGCTGACAGCTTCTACAATAATCATTGTATGGTGCACTTAGTTTTCTGGCATGTCTGCCAATTAGACAGTGACCTGTTGGCACTTCTACTAGAGTTCTTATGTCATCCCTTTTGAATTTTAATAGTCGGCGTGTGCAGCCTATTTTCCATTAATGCCACGTTTGCCTGCTTATAGAGCAAGTCAGGTATTGACTCCAGCGAGACTCAGCTAAATTTATAACTTGTTCGTTGATTAAATATTTACAGGTGGCCAAGATCATAAAAATTCCCTCTTTTTCGGAGTCTAATTGTAGGGTGGTGCCTGTTCTGGCTAAATCATCTGCTTCACAGTTACCAGGGATATCACTATGCCCTGGAACCCATTGCAAGTTTATCGTGAAATAGGATGTTAGATCCACTAAGAGATCAAGGCAATTTAACTATCTTTAGCGAAAGCCTAGGAGACTTCAGCGATCAAAGCCGCTTGGCTATCCGTATATATACTCCTTGTTGTAAGCACACTCCTTGTCAGAACAACAACACTTTCTTTGATTGCTGTGATCTCCGCTTGAAAGACACTGCAGTGATCTGATAAACAGAATGCGGTTTTGGTATCGAATTTTGCTGAAAAGACACCACTTTCCACTCGATTAGCTAGCTTGGATCCATCCGTATAGCTGCTTATCTCTGCGTCCATGCCCATCTCGCCCCTTTCCCACTCTTCTCTGGAAGGGAACGTAATATTGTGGACTGAATAAGTTTCGATTCTATAGAATTTCGAAAAACCGTGGTAATCGCTAGAAATGGGAACTTACTTAATACCATAGAATGCCCCTTATTACAGACGACCTATTGGGAGGAGTCCCTTAGTCTAAGAGCTGACTTCGCTGCCAGTTGCTTATAGAACAAGTCTGTTGGCAGTAAATGTAAAATGACGTTTAGTCCCTGACTTGGCGTTGTTCTAAGATTATGACTTATCATACGCTATCATACGTATTTCTTTTTAATTACTGGCCACCATACCACCCCTGCGGGCAGGGGATAGAATATGCCCGCGGCAAGGCATGCCTGTCGTAAAAGGCGACTAAAAGCCAATATGCACTATGATTGTTATTATATACTTTGCACAGTAATATCAGCATAGAATGTGGAGTAATAGTGCTATAATACTCAGCTTGAACTGATATTAGAAACACTTTAAATGAAAAAAGCGAATAAAAAGACATTTGAAGTTCAAGCGACAAATGTCACCAGTCATTTGAGTAATGGGGAGCTCAACTGGCAGTAGTTTAGGCTACGCAGTCTGACCGGAGACTTTCCGGTACCACGGGGAGCAGAAAGCCCTTGGACTTCTGTTCAATCTGCTCATTGGGTTCGGCCCTTTGGGGAGTATCGTGGTGGCTGTGGTTTAAACCTAAATGCTGGAAGAACTGAATTTTCAGTTCGAAAAAAGAAGTTGCACAAGTAACTGGGTGCCGTACCCGAAAACGGAAGAGGTTTTAGGTCGGCCTCGAATCACACCAAGATGGTAGTGTGGACCCAGACACACTGCCACTGGTATCCAAATAAATACTTGCAAAAAGCTCGTATTGTTTGGGGCGCTGATCAACGCATTGTATTGATACGTTGTGTTTTTGAACACCGTGAGGTAAGGCCGTCGCCGGCAGGTACTCACGTAAATCTACAACGAAAGTTGGCCACCATACCAATATAATGTATGTCATAACCTACCTTACAACTGCTGTAAAGAACCCATGCGTTAAGCGAGGTGTTAGTCCACATTTGGGCCCCACATTTCTTCCCCCTTCCTTTCTAGATCTATCACAAATTTAATCAGCCTCCTTGAGATGTACTCTTTGAACAGATCTCCATATCGTTGAAGCTCCCAGCGTTCAAGTTATTGAAGTTCTCGTAAGCATCTGTTCAATTAATTTTCTAAGGGGTTCAGAGATGTCCAAATCTTTAAAAGCGCTCAGTATGACCCTAAGCTGGATGTTATTGAAAGCACCTTCTATGTCTAAAAAGGCAACTAGAGTGTATTCTTTGACCTCCAGAGATTTTTAAATCTCTGCTACCACTGAGCATAGTGCTGTTTCTGTGGATTTCCCTTTGGAATACGCATGATGCGAAACATCCTATTTTTCTGTGTTTAGTTTGTTTCTTATGTGTATGTTATGTGTATTTCGCCTTTCCACGTGCTTAAGAGGAATGAAAAGAGAGTAATTGGTCTAAAATCCTTTGGATTTGTATGTGACCTTTTGTGACTTTTGCCCGTCTTTGGTTTGTTATCATTACTTTGACTTTCCTCCATAACGAAGGAATGTACTAGCCAGTCAATTATGTATTTCTGCGACTGCGGTATTTGAACCGGGAATAAACCTTCTGGTCCCGGTGATTTGGCCTAAAGACTCTTCACTGGATACCGTCGAGCTGGGGTCTGGCTTCTGAAGGTATCCAATGCTATGCACCGATTGTGCCATTATTTTCCTAGGTTGAGACATTTCCGCCGTATTGTCGATATCATTGCAAAAAGATTTCCAAGCATTTTTCTTTCTAAACCTCTTTTTTGTACGATCTTGACTAAATTTAATTTCTTCCTTCAATCCGTCTGTAAATTTTTAGGTACGGGAGTCCACCATGGGAGCCTTATTCTCAACTCTAATTCTTGCCAGAAAGATACCTTGAATTGTTTAACGTGGGACCGTTAGTAAGGGGGCCTAAGTATCCTACTACCTAATACGGAAAACTGTCCCCCATTTCTCGTCTTGGCTGTGTTTAGTTTGTGGTTTCTGATGTTGCGGTGAATTCATTTTATGCTAATAGGCCTCCGCTTCAAGTCACTATCTCCGTACGTTACCCTATATGAACCCCGAGGTTATCTATGCAAGCAGGGATGTCACGAGAGGGTTGACACAAGGACATATGGGAGCTTATGTTCAGAGCCAGGTTCAGGCACAAAGCTGAACAACTGAACATCTACGGCAAAATAAATGGGGACGTGTATTGAACGTACTTGAAGACCTGCCAGGATTTTATAGAGACAGAGATGAGTACAGCATAGCATTAGTCTGTCAGCTGTCAGGTGTGAGATGTCACTTTTACTTACTGAGGTGATATAATGTCGCTCTCACCAGCCTTTTGTCTACCTAATCCGTTCCGGTTTTCCAGTATACCATAATCAGAATCTTGCTGGCCTCGATTCTGATGGGCGCTTGCCCAAAGTTTTCGCCGACGTCTATGCATATTAAGAACTGGCCGCTGGTATAAATCTCTTGTCGCCTCCATCTCGTGCATAGGGTGGGGGTTGTGGACGCTTATTTACAGGCGGCATCAGTTCTCCTTTTCGCCAAAAGTTCATTGAGCGCAAGACGCTTGCATCTAACCTACTTAATATAGCTCGTCCACTATCCGCCAGCTGTGACTCCGGTATTAGCCTGAGCTCACCCTTACCATTACGTTAATGCATATAATATAAATAAATAAACTTTTATTTTTCTATGCATCCTAATTATGTTTTTCACTTAGAAAAACTTAAAAAATATTAGTAATTAAAACTTAATTAAAATAAAAAAGATATGTATTGAGCAGGCTGCCTTCAGCATAAGACAGAATATTTAGTCGTATACTTAAAATTATGTTACAGTACGTTGTTTCGCATTCTGGATGAGATGTCAATATTTCAATTTCGGATTTACATTAAATTCTTCATTTCAGTCTTAGTAAAGTATATCGGTTCACATTTGTAATTGGTTTTTTTTTTTTTATTTACAATATTTCATGCTTTTGCGTGAATGTACCAGCAGTGAAGCTGCGGTTCTTTATGAGCTTTAATTTTGAATTTTGTTTACATTAAGCAGTCAACATTTAGGTTGGTGTTATTGTTAACTCTCTCAGATGAATCGTCTCATTAATTCAACATTTAATTTGTTCGTTTAATTGTGTAAAAATATATTCTTGATTTACAGCTCGCTCCTTTATCTTATGTATACATTGGACTTATTGTTATTATAATAATTACAAATAATATTTTTGGACTTTGGAAGAGCTTTCTGTGTATCTTTTTTTTAATTTATTTAATAAATTTAATTTTCAAATTTTATTTCTTCGTGTTTAATACCAATGTATTCTATTATTTTCAGGTCATTAAAATGATGTTTTATTAAGAATTTATGAATTTTTCATTGTGGACTTTCATAAGTATAAAGTTATTAAGTAGGTTTCTGATAAGGAATAACATAATTATTTACTGCATTGCTACATGATATAAAAATTGCTTCTATTTCATTATTTTAAATTATTTTCTTTAATTTTTTTAGAATTTACTTTTAGATTTATTATATTCAGGAATCAGTTATGTTTTTGGTTTATTTTACAATAAGTATTAATTAATTCCAATTAACAGTTTTCTTAAATTGTGACGAGTATATTTGCACAGTATGTTTTCCTTTGGGAATGATAAGCTTTTCATCAAATTCAGCTATTGCTCGTGTTTTATATTGTATAATTAACATTTTCCGAATATTAATGGATATTGAATATAGAAAATAATA